CCCCCCGGTGGAGTTTCAGAACAAATAAATTGTAATGTAATGAGAAGAATTGAAGAATGAAGTAACTTCGAGGTTGTGAAAAGTAAGAAAAAAATAGTATGATATTGTCTCATAGCTGGTAACCTAGGGACCTGATGAATTCATCCACAGAATCAATGCATCCCAATGGGGCTCCTCTGTAATTATGGCTCAGAATACAAGGTAGGCTGTACCCTACCACCCTAACTTTATTAAGGAACTATACCAGCTAGGTCCTCCAAACACCAGAGATAATACTCACTAATATGATGTGCTCTCTCCCCTGTCCCATGGGAGCTTCAGCTATGACTACTGCTCTTTTCTCATCTCACTACATTTTTCCCTAAGCTTTCCCTTATTCCATGTAGGTCCCTGGTATATTTCACGCCTCCAGAGGGCAAGATACATAAAATACTTAAAGTAGAAGCTTCACAGAGCCTTGATTTTCTTTCTTTTTTTTTTTTGTTTTTGTTTTTGTTTTCCTCAGGTTCCCACAGAGAGTTTATGAGGGAGCCAAAGCCAGTGAAAGGACGAAGGAGTCCTACTTCAACATCCCTCCTCGAAGCTTCTGGCCTCTGCAAGACGGAATATTCTGGGAGAGAGGGCCTGCCCTGTGTGAGGCCACATGGAGCCTCTCATACCACAGCTTGTGGGATCCCGAAGACCCAGGAACAGGAGAGAAATGACATAATCCCCACCCCAGGAGGGTGCTGAGGACGTGCCTTACTCCCCCCCAAAGGGCCACAGCTCTAGCCATCAGGACCTCTGGAAGAAAGGCCAGGATGCCTGGCTCTCCGATCGGCCAGCCTAATCCTCAACGTGAAGGCCTGGGCAGTGGGCCTGGCTGACAGCTCGGGTCAGACCTGGCCCCAGGCATCTACTCTAGGAGCTAACACCTAACATCCAAACGTGATTTAAAACTCAGGACGGTTCTCTTGCTGATGAAAGCCACAGCCCAGATAATGGCAATGCTGCCAGACCCTGGCCAGACATAGAGACTCAAGCTGAATGGTGTATGAGATTGTGAGGAGACCCACGGGGAGGAACAGAGCCCTGATTTTCTATAGCAAATGCTATTTTAAATGCAATTATCTAAATAATTTCATAGACGAAGTCATCTGAATTTCCTGAGTAATTACGGCAAAGATAAATTTTTTCTCTTAAGACCCGAGTTCTTTCTCTTACTCTTTAAGTTGATTTAAAATAAAGGAATGGTCTCCCTATGGTCCCTTCTTACGGCCCCTCTTCCACTCGCTCCTTCTTTTTAAAGCATATGTATTTTCTATCACGTTCAAGATCAAAGCAAGTCTCCAGCAGAACATGTTCTGAACTAGTATTTCTCGTTTTTCAGGTATAAAATGGTATACTTCCTTCTGGTTCTGTAGCCTTTTACCCATTGTTTATCTTCTCATATCTTCTCCCAATATGCTTCCTTATGTGCCCCTTTTACATCTATTAATATTAGTATGTATGGGGAAAGGGAAGTATCAAGCAAGTGGACATAAAGCTCTTGGCCCTGGTTTTTGAACTCTGAGAAACCTTTTACAACCAACCCTTCCTATTCTGTCTAAAAACCCTAAGCTGACTACTTTCTGCCCAGAATTTACCAATCCTGTAGTATATTATCTAAATGATTTCATAAAGAAAGAACTGAAAATAACTTTTCAGTGCTTGAGTATCTGCTCTCTAACTTCCATCTGATTTTCTTTATAACATGTACCCCTTTAGGAATATAAGCATGAAAGGTACAACATCAAATACCAGGCCAATGGGAAAAATCCCTACCATCTGTTGTCATTTTGCTCAGCTTACCAAAGCCAAGAGAACTTGCTTCCCAATGTGATATATTTGTTTTTCTGTGAGATCATAGAGAAGGCCATCCATGGTCATCACATCCTGAAGAGACAGCGAAAAGAGCATTATATCAAAATGACATGAACAGATTTTTTAAAAAAATATAAGGGCAGAGATATTCTTAAATGCAGATAGCAAAGCTAAGAAAAAGATCCAAAAAGACATAGAACTGTAAGGTTTAAGGAGAGACTGATATTAGAGATTCTCAGATATGCAGAGAAATACAATGATTTATTGGACTGGAAATAAATAATAAAGAATGTAGATGAACAGCAGAATGAAGGAAGAACAGAAGAGCAGGTAAGAAAGACAAGTATATGTCCCTTGGGTAAAGCATCAGTTTTCCTGCATGTGTGTGTGTGAGTAATTAAGCACATTAACTCAACGCATTTTTATTGAATGCCTACTATGTGCCAGCTTCCATCTTAGGAACACAGAATATACGAATGAGCAAAATAAACATGTCATACATAAATGTATAATTACACACCTATAAGCACCATGGAGAAAATGGTGAGGGAAGGAAGGAGAGCTGATTCAGGTGAGGAACAAGGAAAGCTTTTGATGAGATTTGAAGGATGAATTGACATTGACTATGCAAAGAAGAGAAGGGAGAAGTTTGGGGTAGTGAGAAAAGCATATGAAGGTCATCTAAAATAGAGAAGCATGGTAATTTTGGAAAACAGAAAGCAGCTAGTGAGGTCAGAGCACAGAACAAGTTAGAGCTGGGTAAGCTCTTTAAAAGGTTTAAAGCACCTGCAGACTTGCACATTGCACCGCTGGATGGAAGACGTCAACAGGCTCCCTTTCTCACACCCATTTAGTAGTAAAATCATCAGCATACTGAGGAGGCTTGTTTAATATCAAACGTGCTCATTGGCAAAGAACTAACTAAGGAAGCATGCAGTGCTTCAGAAAGAGGAATATATAGAGAAGTAGGGAGACTGTAAGGAAAAGGAATCGTACTTTAGTCTGGAAATTAATTTGTTAAAATATGAATTTGAGGTACAAAGAAAAGCTGAATTTTTCCTCAACTCAGCCCTGGCATACTAGGGTGATGTTACAGAATGGAAAACACACTTAACAAAAACAACAAAATTACAATCAGTACTACATAGTTATGCTATGTCATTATCACCATTAACAGCTACCATTTTGAGTGTTTGCTATATACCAATCACTGCTATGTTTTTAATTACATAATTTCTTTTAATGTTAATAATAATTTATTGTTTCTCCCATTTTACAGATTCAGAAAACTCAGGCTCAGAGACTTGCTCAAATTCACGTAGCTACTAGGAGGTGGAACCTGAAGTCTGCACTCTAAATTGGCAATATGGTAGCTATTAGACACCTGTGGCTATTTAAATGTGTATCATTTAAATGAAATAAAACTGAAAATTCAGTTTCTCAGCCACATCAGCCACATTTCAAGTATTCCATAGTCACATGAGATTAGTGGCAACGATATTAGACATAAAATATTCATCATAAAAAGTTCTGTTGGTTGGTGACACTCACTCTGTTATGCTATTATAATGTCCCTCTACTTTGTCACTTGTCAGGCTCACTGACATGTGAACAGCTAATCAGCCAGGTAAAGCCTTTCCTTTCTAACACCTCTACCCTACTACTGACCCGGCGACAGGTCCAGAGAAAGCTGAGCAGGTCGCCCTGGGCCACATCCTCCAACACCATATAGAGCGGCTCTCCTTCTGTGCAGCAGCCTTCCAGCTGGACCAGGTTCTGGTGCTCCCCCAGGTACTGATAGAACTGGATTCGCCCTAAGAAATCCTTTATCTCGTGGAGCCCAGCTGGTTCTGTGGAGAACAGAAGAACCGTGGTCGGTGAACTGTCAGAGCATTTCAGATAAAACGGGAAGACTGAGGCAGGAAGCAACCTCAGGTGATAATTCTCACGGCTCTAAAGGGGAATGAACATAGATAAAAAGTAAATAGGGAACCAACTGGAAGATGATCCTCACTGATCTTTTGTCAAAGGCGACAGAATCGTTACAACTAGGGAAGCTTTCATCTGCCTAAACAGGCAAGTGTTGTGTTCACATTGACATGTATCACAGCCTGGGCCTGCTGATTGATGATCTTGCTTATCCAGTTGTTGTCCTATCCTGTTCTCTGCATCTGCCATCGCTGGCCCATATCATGAATATCAGCAAAAAAAGAAAAAAAGAGAAGAAAAAAGAAAAGAAAAGAAAGACAGTACCAGAGAAAAATATCAAATAGTGGAGAAAAAGTGCAGAATCAACCTCAACATCTTTATCAAGTAACAGCCAGTACGGAAAAATCAGTTTGAACAGCCTTGGTAGGCAAGGTTGAGCTAAGAACAAAACAAGACCCCGAGAACATTTCTGTCTTCAGTTTTCACTTTCTAACCCCATCTCATTCTGCACACAGCTGTGATCACAACTACCTGTTGACTAACATCCTAATGTCTGCAAAGCCTGTTAGCATTTACTGTTAGAGGGGCTCACAGTGGAAAAGTAAAAAGGGAAAGGGAATTCTAGCATTTCTCCTTTTACCTTTTAAAGCCTTGAGGACAATGCTCTTGGACTTAGCTGGGTCCCCAGGGTACATCTTGGTTCGATAGATGGCCCCACAAGTACCATTGTAGATCAGCTCGAGAACTGCAGAGAGTTGCTCCCGGGGCAACTGCAGCTTAGCCAGGCCACGTGTGGACGTTTGTAGGAGGCTTGCCACCGATGTCTCCTTAAGTGGCACAAACACACCTCGGTGTCCTTCTGCTTCCCCGTTTTGGCCCCTAGATGGAGGCACAGGAGCAATGCCTAGAAAAAAAGCGATGATACCAACCAGCTTTTTCCTACCCTCCAGACTCCAGGAAAGCAGAGCTTGAGACAAGCTGGCAGGAAAGTTCCTTTAACAATTTTTTGTCCAGCCGTTGTGGGGATGTCTTCTGATGCCTCTCTGTAAACCGGCATCAATACCAACCTTGTAGGACTTTTATAATAATTCCATTACTTCTAAGACAACTCAAGATGACCTCTGGAAAGTGGTAATAAAAAGCATCAATGATACTATTTCATGCTTGAAGGTCAGGAAAGGCCTTTGTGATGACATATGAGAAATACCTGGAAGCAATTAGAGTAAGCGATAAGGTGTCAGGAAGGGCATTACAGACAAAGGGGCCCAGCGTACAAAGGCATTGAAGGAGCCTACCTGGCATACTTGAGGAAGGGGAGTGAAGCCCGCGCAGTGGAACAGCTGGAGGACTACAGGAGAGGAGGCCACAGAGGGCCCAGATCATGTAAGACTACCGAAAGAATTCTCTTTTCATTCTAAGATGGGAAGCTACGCCAGAGTTTCAAGCAGAGAATTGACAGGACTGACAGACTGAAAGAATCATTCTGCTGAGAATAAATACAGCAGGAGGACAGGGGCAGAAGCCAGGAACCCAGTCAGGAGTGAATTACAATGAGCTAGGAGAGGTGAGAGTGGCGCGAGTTTATTTGGGGGATAGAGTTAACAGGGTTTGCTAATGGGCTGGACGGACATCTTTAATATTTTAGACTGAACACACGGAAAGCTGGGTTTGCCCTTTACTTCCCCGCGTAAAACCAGCCACAAAGCTGTTGGACTGCAAGGGCGCCCCGCCCCGTGGGAAGACCAGTAGTGGCGCGTATTTGCGAGGGAACTTCAGTGCCTCTGTCTCGGACACACTAGGCATGAAATATGTATTAGCTCCCAACCGCAAAGTAGGTGATTTAATATAAGACTTTGGAGTTGGGGGGCGGGGGCTATAGTTAGAACAGAGAAAGTCTTTGAATCTGCAGGCTTAAAACGAGAGCACTTAGAAAGTGACGGGAGATTTAAAGGGGGGAGAAAAGAAAAAGTGTTTCAAGAGGAAAGAAGTACAAAATTGTTTCAGGGGTTTTTGACAGGTCAGATAAAGTGAGGACTCGGCACAGCTGTCGGTGATCTTGGAAAGAGTTGTTGGGGCGGAGCGGCGGGGGTGAGGGCCTCGTTTGGGTGCATCCAAAGGAGCCGGCGAGGAGGG